TACGCGCGCGCGCCGCGCGCATGTAACGCGCGCGCCTTATTTCGCGCGTAACGCGCGCGCGCGTAACGCGTTATAACGCGCGCGCGTAACGCGCGCGCGCGCGTAACCCGCGCGCGTAACGCGCGCGCGCGCGTTACAGTTTTTACACTTTAAAAAGATGAAAAAGTATAGCTTAATAATATATTAACTTATGTAGTTTCTTATTTAACTAGTACATGTACAGTGATCAACATTTGGCTATGGCTTCCTCAAGTACAATGTTGGTTTGGCAGACTGGTGATACTAGAAGTCTTCGTTCTTGTTTTGAGAGTCTGTCATATCAGATAATAGCTTTTTACAGGTAAAAGACCAGGAGCAGTTGATCAAAGACCGCACCATGAGGATTATCCGCGAGCGGGTATTAGCTGAGGGCAAATCAGAAGCACAAGCTGACCTTTATGGTTCGTGGAATTGTTCTTGTAGTTCTTGTAGTTCTTCTCGGGTTAGGGTACTATGGTTCTTCTCGTCAGATAGGGAATTCGATGCATGCTTCTTCTAGATGGGAATTTGATGCATGACCCTTGATCTTTCCACTCATCTGCCCACCCAAATACTTGCACTTATACTACAACTTCTTCTTTTTCTAATCCAAAGAAGTGAAGAAAATATCTGCGAACAAGAAAGACTATAAATTCAGCGGGTCGACTGCTACAAGGGATCATCCTCTCATCCTTTTAGACGACTGCTGGAGAGACTGGGGGATACCGGAGCTAGTGGAGAAGGTACTAAGGCAGTTTGGCTTATCTGGTGTCTTTGTCTAGGGAAAGCGCTTTTGCCTAGATGCATGACCTTGCAAAATAAAGAACAGCTGAAGCTTGTACTTGATTGTTGTCTCGTATCCCTCTGCTAGTAATAGTATGCAGGTGCTGTGGCAACATCGAAGATTGATTATAGCATAGGTGGGAATATCTTTTTTTGGTCAGGTGGGAACATTCAATGAATATGAAAACTACGATATCTTCAACACTCCCATTGGGACGATTGTCGCTTCTTCTCCTTAGAAATAGAAGTACAATCAAATTTATGAATACTTGTTGTAGGAGCGTCAAGAAAAGCTTGCAGCTAAGACGACCCCAGAGGAAAAGGCAAAGTTCCCAGGGAAAGAGGCTTATTGGAATCAACAACAGAAATTTATGAGGGAGATCCTACGTTGTTTCGCTGGTCGTACGATGCCTTGTTGGAGTGATGGGAAAACGATTATCCCGTACTACCTCAATTTTGCCGATTTTTACTAGTTCTATCAATTTTTCTATGGACAGCTAGTCTTAGTACAAGAACTCGAACTGGATACCACGTCGCAATAACTGTATTGCACTAGGCCGCTTCATTGGCCTTACACTCTGCTCGACATGTCACCCGACACACTACCTCATGCTAGGTAAATGAGTGAAATGTTATGAATGTGAATGATAATATTTCTTGGGTATCCTTTACAACTACTTTTATTCTACTAGTTGTTGGGTACCACGTATACCGTAAATTTCACGCTGATATAGCTACCCTTTCCTACTTCTACTAGTTGGGTACGTATACTTTGAATATCACGCCTTACACTCTCCTTAACATCTTCCACCTCAACAGGTATCGCGATTGGCCTCAAAAGTGGTGGTGGCTCAAAGGGACGGATCTAAGTGCGGTAAAAGACGCCTATCTAAAGCATTTTGATAAAAGGCAAATTATTAAAATCACTAACGGAAAACCGTCCAAGCCTGACGTGGCAAATTTTATGAAGGGATGTTTTTGTTTGTTATTTCTATAAGTACTCGATGAAAACTGGTAATATTAACCGAGTTGCTGACTAAGATACTAGTGGAGGTAGCTCTTATAAAGGCTACTCTTCCTTGGTCAGTACCTCGGTTATTCTCGTCTGTTACTCGATTATTTCAGTTTATCGAATACTTAGCTGCTTAGGAAAAAGAAGATCATGATGTTCGTCCTGTCTGGGTCTGCTAGAAATAGAATTTACGTTCAGGGATCAGAAGGTTATTGAAAAGTGCATTCAGGGAGGACAAGTAGGAGATCGAGGCTATGTTCCTACCTAACTTTTATTTGAAAGGTACTACTACTACTACTAGCAAGGGAACTAAAAAGTGAAAAAGAAGGAGGAGAAGAAAAAATGGACCACCACTAAAGGAAGTAGTGCAACAATTAAATAAACACCTTTACCTCTCGAATGGGTACGCTACTACTACTACTCCTACTACTACACTCTTACTTCTCTCTAATTCGGATCCAAGATGCAGAAACCAAGAAAATGTCACGGATGAATTTCTCCACGGAACGCAGTGAAAAGTTCATCCGTGACATTTTCTTGGTTTCTGCATCAATTAAAGGAAGTAGTGCCCTTTCCTGGTTTAAAGGAAGTAGTCTCGAATGGGTACACTACTACTCCTACTACTAGCCTAGACTCTTACTTCCTACTCTTACTCTTACTTCTCTGCTCTAATTCCCATCCAAGATGCAGAAACCAAGAAAATGTCACGGATGAATTTTTCACCGCGTTCCGTTTAGAAGCGGAGCAAGGAATCCGAGATGACGTCCCAGATATGGAATCTTCACAGCAAAAAGCGGTGAAGCTTATGGCTGTCTCTGGTCTGAGCAAATAGAAGGAGTAGCTTATTTACAGTGTCGTGACACACAAGCTCAACAATGACGTATTCTTATAATTTAGTTCTCTTTCTTTCTTTCACTCCGTATTACAGAATTTAGTTCTCTTTCTTTCACTCCCTGACCCTGTAGTACCAACCATGATTCTGAGTATCCTAGTGAAGGTTAATAAGTAGCTGTTCAACTGCAAGAACATGGTAAAAGTTGCTCGTGTTGAATTTCCACACCTTCACCTCTACCTTTTGTACATAGCTCCTCTAAGCATAAGGCACTGAGGGAGCACAAAAAGCTCAGGGCGGAAAACAAGAAGAAAAAAGAGGAACAAGACAAGGAGAAAGAGAACGATGGTGACGAAGATCGAGACGATGGTGCGGAGAAAACCATCAAAAAAGAAAGCAACAAAAAGCCGAGTAGTAAGGCTATGAAGAACCCTCCAATGAAAAAAGAGCAATCTTCGTCGTCTTCTTCGGCAGCAGCTGGTGACTTTTGCAAGTCCAAAAAGGAAGCCTCATCGTCTGCCACATCTTCATCTTCTACAACTGCGATGAAGAAGAGAGGCCGTGGTCCGGCAAAAAATACTTCGTCCACTTCTGCTGAGGAGGTGCAAGGCGAAGGACCCACAGAGCAAGGCCAAGCATCTGCCACATCCTCAGACAATGCTGCGCAGGCGACTAATATCAACGCTACAGCGACAGGAGCCTCGAACAAGATGAACAAAGGTCCAATGAAGAGGTCCAAAGCGATCTCTAATGGAAACCTGTACCAGCCAAAGTTAGACTTGTTCTTTAAAAATAAAGCAGCACAAGAACCTCAACAGAACGAAATGGAGGACGCGGCTGACACAGGAGATGAGAAGAAAGATGTTGAACACGAAGGTGAAGGTGAAGAAGAGCCGTCGATGAAGAAACAGAAGAAAGCATCGTCAAAAGAATAGTCATGCCAGCAGCAGTAAGATGATGAACATGCTACAAGACAAAGAAGATCTTGTTTAGAATACCTCTGGTCTTGCGACGTGTATAAAGTTAAAGTTAGTAGACTCTAGTTTTATCGTTGTATTTTTTTAAGGTTCTTTGTGCATCTTATCTTGTGAGATGAACTACATAATCTTCTTGTTGTTGATGTGTGACCGAGCACAGCTGATGCTGTCCTCTTGCTAGAAGAGGCAAAGCCAAACCATCCTCAAGATCGATTTGTAGAAAGCCTATGTTGATCATCACGACTGGTTGGCAAGAATAACTACCAAACACGACAATAGGACAATATTACTACGACCATCTCCATTCCTTTCCTTGTGATGAAAAACGTAGTTGTACCACGATTGACTCGAAAAGCAATCACCTTATTTCTAGATCTTCATAACCTTTATCCGTATCCTCGATCCAACAAATGAAGGTAGTGGAACTGAGCAGTAGGATCAAGAATTGCGCTCACTTAGAGTTACCCCTACAACAAGTCTTCTCGTCAAAGGTGCAAAGCACGCCTATTCGCCTTTTTTTTCCTACAGTGTAGGTCCTGTTTTAATATGTTGCCGTCTTGCTTTTGATGTTCTTTCAAAAATGTGACAGGACGAAGAGTGAGCAATCGCGACATCAAACTGCACGTTCGATCAAGCTCCTCTATCGATTTGAACAAATAGTCCTCCCATAGATGATCCTCTTGTTGGCGATTTCGGACCTCCGCAAGTTGTAAGATCCTTCGCCACCATAGGAGATCATGTCATGATCATGAAAGAAAATTGACGATGGAGAAGTTAGAAGTAGGCTTCCACGACAAGAAAATCTCTCTTTCTACTACTTGCTCTTGCAACTACGACACAGGACCCCGCCACTAGTTTTGTGTGCTCCTACTTTTACTCCCCCGTTTCATCAGCATACAACTAGTAATAAATCGACAGTCTTCAACATCTTATGTCTGTTGATATTCTATACCTAACCTTTCATCAAATACTAGCGCCTTATAAATGTTGACTGTCATCGATGAAGCGTTCGCGTGAGGAGAAAAAAAGGGAATCCACTCTTTTCAGTGCTGATTCAACTATTTCTTGCCAGCAAGCATCTGCATCGACTTCAAAGACAAGCACGACTGCTTCGACCTCTAGTACGAGTCGGCCGGTGATACATACTACGACGACTCCCGGCACATTGACGTCATCCTCTTCTTCCTCCTCTACAACAGGCCCTAGAACCTCGAGACACACAGAGCACCCGATCCTTTCTGCTCTGACGAAACAACAACTTGCGGTCGCGACCTCGATTTTTATGCCTGAACCTGTGAGGAGCTTATTTCAGAAGGTAACAAAAGAAACTCCTGAAGAAGCTTCTCAACAAGAACTACAACGTGAAGGTGAAGATTCTAACGACCCAAGTCCAAAATCCCTGTGTGTGGAAGTGGGTAGCGAGGTGGACGAGGCAAGCAACAGCAACGAGGAAGGCTCTTCTAATAATCAGAGGCGCGACATCAAAGGTACTGCGTTACGACGTCGACTGGGATTTCCTGTACCTGCAGCTGTACCACCTGTACCAGCGATTACAACCTCTACAACTGCGGCAACATCAAAATCTAAAGACTTTCACTCTGATTCTGAAGAAGTAGGAGATCTCTACAACTCTTTAGATCACCAAGAACAACAACAAGGAGAAGGTAGCAGTAATAGTCGTAGTACTAACAACGACAAGAAGATGGCTCCTGCAGAAGAGGATAGGCCTTCTACTACTCCGTTAGTTGTGGAGTCTCCTGCAGCAGAGGATGAAAGTACGATGATCTTTGACGCCGATCCCAAGAAATGGAAAAATCGAAAAATCGCGATCACTGTCGGTTTCTGCGGCGCAAAGTATCGGGGATTGCAGTGCAGCTACTTGCCTGGCGTCGAAACCATTGAGAATGAGCTGAGGAAAGCGTTTGTGAAAACTCGAATGGCTGGCTCATCGTCTCCACCTGAAGGTAGAGGACAAGGAGAAGGGAACGACAACAACCATGCTGCTGCTGAAGAAGCAGCAAAGAAAAACCTAGACTCTGTCCGGATTGAGAATCTAAATTGGTCCCGCAGCAGTCGGACAGATGCTGGCGTGAGTGGTCGGGTTCTGGTCCTAGGCTGTCGGATTCGCGTGCCAGTTCCGGTTGATGAAGATGCTGAGAATGCGGAGCAAAGTTCTTCTAAATTGAGTAATACGATCTCGTCAAGCGTGAACTCAGCCAACCCTCCCAATGTCCAAGCAGCTCTGAACCATGCTAGGAAACTCCTGAACGAAGCATTGCCAGCAGAGATTCGGGTGTTCTCGATCATCAAAGTCCCCAAAGGCTTTGACGCTCAAAAAGCAGCAAGCTGGCGAGAGTATGCTTATGTTTTGCCGCGCAGAGTTGTTGATCCTACTAGCGCTATTGGTGCATCAACATCTACTGCTTCTGCACCTACATCTTGTTCTGCAATTGCGTCATCTGCAACAACTGCTTCAACATCGAAGACCACTGCGACGACCCCACTTGCGACAACTTCATCTTCCTCTACTTCAATCACTGCGACCGCAACAAGTGTATGTTCCTCTTTTTCGCTCGAACCTGAGAACGCTGTGCAGCAGTTTCGAAGGGACCAGACCCTGCAATTGGTCGATGTGGACAGACTCCAAGAAGCTCTGGATCTCTTCGTCGGGGTGCACAGTTTTCACAATTTTTGCAATCTGAAGACCCGCGACGTCGAGAACAAACCCGGTGCTAGAGCAGATCGAGAGGCTCGAGAGGCGAAAGGGAAGGGAAAGAAAGGAAGTGCTGGTGGTGGTGGTACTACTGGTGGTACAGGAGAGCAAGTTGGAGAAGGAGATGAAGAACCGTCTGGAGGTGGTGCAGCGTGGTCGGGTAAAAAGGGGAAGGGTAAAAAAGGCAAGAAAAAGGGAAAGCAAGGCAAAGGTGGAGGTAAAAAGGATGGTAAGGACAAGGGCGCATCCTCAATGTCAATAGAAGAAGGGAAAGAAGAGCAAGAGGACCCGAACAAGAAAGATGAAGAAAACGGAAAAGTATCTTCATCTACTTCAGGCGAAACAAAAAAGCGACCTGCAGATGAAGAAAATGCGGGTTCAGCGAGTACCTCGAAGCGACAAAAATTAGACATCAACGACACTACGACGAATACGAAACAAGACAAGAAATCCTCAATTTTAGATGTTGGCACCCAAGTGGATTGGTCCAAACTAGTCGTCCGTGGCATCGATGCCGACAACTTACCACTCCAGGATCGTTTTCGACACAGAGGCAAGGATGTGCTGAAGAACAGCATTTCTACGATCTACTCCTTTCGCATCGTCGACGTGACCGACGAACTCATCGAAATCCGGGTTTGCGGACAGTTCTTTATCTTCAACCAGATCAGACTCATGATTGGGGCGGCGGTTGCCTGTGCAATGGGATTGTACGATGAAGAACTTAATCTTGGAGCTGTTGCTGGCGGTGTACTAGGAGATCATGTACAACTAGGAGATCATGTTGATGCTCTTGGCAAGCTGCAAGGACTTCAAGGCCATAACGTGGTTCAAATGCCAGGCGAAAAACCCGGTCTTTCTGTCATTCGTGCAGCATTGCAGTCTAAGATCGAGTGCCAATTTCCGCTAGCTCCTGGCGAAGGTTTGTGTCTGTACACAAGCGGCTACACCGGCTTTGACAGCCGCACTGGAAAAATGGCTCTAGACTTAGAGCAGTACCGGAAATGCCACTTAGAAGTCACCCCTGGTGATGGATGTGGGCTGATCTCTAGTTGCACTGTCAATCCCAAATTTCCACCGAAACAAAACCTCCAATTTTTCATCGGCAACCGGGAAGAGCAGCTTGTCCGAGATCTAGAGGCTAATGCCACTTGGAGACGCAAAGCCATGAAACTTCTAGAAGCCAGTGCAACGTCTACGGATCCAGACAGAGACAGGGTTTTCTTATTGCTGCCAACGTTTGAGCAAGAGCTAGAAGTGGAGACCTTCTATCGGGAAAAGATCCGCAAAGAGATTTTGGGTCAAGTGCAGCAAGTCTACACCGAATGGGTGTTGCACCAAGGGCTGCACAGAATCAACTTGACGAATGAAGGGAGGGAAGCTTTGCTGTCTACGGCATCGAAGGAGCCAGCTTTGCCGGAGAAAGAAAGCAAATCGATCTGGAATGCAAGAAAATTCGCGTTTAAAAAGTACTAGTTTCTTATTTTTATTTAGGAGTAGTAAGTTTTTTTACCTGCGTGTCTGTGGGTGCGTTGATCATTTGGTACCAGAAATAATAGCATTGTGTTGATGCACGAGATACAGTAAATTCGTCATTGATCCTTTTTCACTTCATTTGACCATACTTCTCGTAGCTATCTAGTCCACCCACTGAAAAATAACATTAACAATTAATATCTAGTCCACCCACTGTTGAATGATAACAAACATCTCGACAACAGTTTCGCCGGTTCTGTCGAACGCTACCAACAATGCCTGCCTAATCGCTTTACGTCGGATTTATTGGTGACGTTTCCAGACCATTTTCTGCCTGGACCCCGCTTAGTCAGTTTCCAGATCAATTTGACACGAAAACTGTTGGAGTTGTACGAAGAAGGCGAGACTGACGAGGTGCCGTGGCGCATGGAGAGACGAGATTTGCTGAGCTTTGTGCGGAAAGGGTTGATCCGCGGAAATGGTGAGGAAGAGGAGTAACGAGAATCCTGATCATTGTCAGAGTCCACAGAGGACCCGCACGACCCAGCTTCTCGTTTCGAGAGTGCAATCTGCAGCGTTCTCCCGCTCCCTTGCAGGCTGTCTGCGAAAGAAGAAATGATCTACACAGTGAGATGAACATGGTTCATCCTGGAACATAGCGGAACTCATTTCATTTACAGTATTTACCCCCAAAAGTTCGTTGCAAAACCAGACTATGGCGTAGTTGTTCTGAGGGAGCCTCAAAGTCAAGAGACATCACTAGACCAGGACAACTTCCAGTTTTCTTTGTTGCCGCGTTTGAAGGAGGCACTGCGATGTTCGAGTCATGAATCTCAGAGAGAATGGATTGAAGAAGATCAACTGGATGAAAATGAGTCGAAGTCGAAGGTCTGTTGACGTAATAGAAAGCGTGACGAAGCGTCTGTCTATGAGTGCCTGAGAGGACCTACAGAACATTCTGACGGGAGAGTATGAAACCAAAATATGTTATCATTATCATACTTTTCTACTTAAGAAACTTGATAATGATAACAGATTTTCTTTTCATAGAGAGATACACGAGAACGTCTCGTCAAGATGAAGACGTGCTAAACGACAAGGTCAAGTTTCGGTAAATCAAGTGAGGCACAATATGCTCCTGTTCAACATCAGACTGGAGAGATCTAGATTTGTTTCAGAGAGAAACGTGCGTGAGAACTTCTGTGAGGGCTGTGACGATGAAAAAGAGAAAGTGATCTGTTGAGTGCTGTGGTTGGTTCTAGAGGACGATTGTATTAACGAATTCAACAATCCACCTCTAAAATATCCATCTGCAACTGAAAAGCAGAGGCGAACCAATGTTGAGGATGCGCCCACCCGGCCGTGGTTTCGTTCTCTTGTCATAGATTAGCAACTTACTCACCCACCATATACTTATGAACGCGCTATTATGAATGATCAGTCTTTTTGTTGTAAGTTTTTGGCATCACGTATGCGTATCTACTTATACGACTACTTAGTAGTATGTAGTTGCAGCTTACCTTTAGAAGTGGGAGTTAAACTGGTTCCACTCGCTGTTGCTGGTTCTTAAAGATTCCCCATGATTATCTTTATCTCTCTTTTTTCACGAGCAGTGCTTTAGCACAAATGTTGAATCGAATGAACTACGCATGTTTTTCGATAGTAGATGTTTGTAGGCCTGTACGGGCGCGTACCAAGTCTTGTTTGCAAAAACTAGAGAACACTAACGTCGCGTTCTTCGAACTTTATTTTATGTTCTTTGATACTGCACTACTTGCAGATAATTGATATTGTTATTGTTTGAAATTAGACGTCGGTAGGAGTTCTCTTTTATATTAGAAATAGGTACATGAACCACTCCTCAGATTTCCAACAATTAAAGTAGATTGAAGTTATTTAGGTGTTAATTAGAGAGCATATGAACTGTTTAGTCTTAAGTTAGGAAGCTAATGAAGAATGATAGTTCCACTATCGTCCTCTAGAACAAGTGCATTAATAGAGTGAAAACAAATGAGTACATAGAAGAAGGGTCACTTTTTTATTTGTTAGAACAAGTGTCGAGCTCCTTGTCCTTGTAGGACTAAGAGCTCGACCAAGACGAGACTAAGTCTTGTCCCCGCTGACTTCGAGGACGATGCTAGGTGGTAGACGGGATGCTCGGTCTTGAGGATCTCGAGAATAAGGAAGATGACTCGCTAAAGAAGACTCGTGACACTTATCCCAAAGTCGCCCATACGGGAGGACACAAGAAGAAGCTTGGCGGCCATGGAGAGGAACATCAAGATGGAGGAGGACAAGGAGGTGGGCGGGCGACTACTCCTGCAGGCGCTGGAAGTAACAGATCTGTAGGGACGAATGGGAAGGGACCTGTACCTGTTGTCAAGAAAGATAAAGATGAAAAGCCTGCGTCTTCTAGGAAATTTGCAACTACAGGTACTGCAACTGGGACAACAAGTGTCAGGGACCATCATTCTGAGTCAACTTCTAAAGAGGATGAGACTGCAGCAAAGGAGGTGTCAACAAGACACACTGCACCAAAGGATCGAAAATTAGGGACGGCAACAGGAACCAGTGTGAAGGAACAGCATTCTAGTACTACTTCTACAGCGAAGGAGCCAACGAAAAGTACAAGGGAGACCTCGTCTACGCCGAAGGACCACAAGGGGTCAAGCAAGGAGTCGACCAGGCATACTACACCACACAAGTCAACTAAACAGGATGAGCATGAGGCGGCACCAAAGGATTCCACGAGGGAGACCACTGCTAGAACGGAGGAGTCAACGAGGCACACTACACCAGTTAAGGAGTCAACAAGGCACACTACACCAGTCAAGGAGTCAACGAGGCACACTACACCAGTTAAGGAGTCAACAAGGCACACTACACCAGTTAAGGAGTCAACGAGGCACACTACACCAGCTAAGGAGTCAACAAGACACACTACACCAGTTAAGGATTTAACAAGGGAGACGAACACGAAGGAGTCTACAAGGCACACTGCACCAAATAAGGAGTCAACAACAACGGAGACGAACACGAAGGAGTCAACAAGGGAGGCTAAGGAGTCAACGAGGGTGGAGACTACTCCAAAGCACTCGAAAAAGCACAAGGATGATGCACTTGCACAGGCACATGCGGGAGAGAAACTTTCTGCGGTTGGTGGGAGTATCCTGGATGATGGGCCAGTGTCCGTTGGCGAACACGATCATGTTAATCGATTCAAAGGAATGCTCGAACTCAATGCCGATGTCTTTGAAGGCGAAGAACATGATGCGGAGCGTTACACGGCTGTCAGTGGAGGTCGTCATACAGCAGGAGGCGCAACTACTACTAGTACTACGTCAGGTCATCAACATGGCTCACGCTCAGGCTCTCCTGGTGGTCGTGGCACTGGACATGGTAGTGGTGCAACAACACATCGTAGTGCAACTGCCACAACTAGTACAACAGGAGCAAGAAACCACGATCCCAACAACCTTGGTTCGGCTATACGCGAAGCGTCCACAAGAAAATCTGCACGAACGACACTAGTGAGGGCACAAGACGAAGGGGCTAACGAACCAGCTACAGCCAACGGAGGCAGTATCCACCTGGTGGACAGAAACCCGACTGCGAGTGTCATTAGACACAGTAGAGAATTGCATTCGCAAGTCTACGTCTCAAGGGAGATGCAATTAGTGGAAGATTATGGCTTAAATTTCGAAGTCAAATCTGTCGCCTATAATTGAATGCTCTTCGTTGATTGTGCTTGTGTCATGTTCCTACTGGCACACCTTCCACAATTATCTAGCAGGTGTAGCATAGTTGATGATGATCATGAAAATGATATTCATATTCATATTGCCTAGTAGTTTGTTCGTCCAGCACCAGTATAATTCGTATTCCATATGATCCTAGTGCTAGTTTGTTCGTCCAGCACCAGTATAATTCGTATTCCATATGATCCATGTTCTAATCAAGGGTGATCCACTTCGTGGAACGTGCAGCTGTAGAACCTGCAACGCAGTCGGACGTGGATGCTTTTGTGGGGTATTTGGCTTTGGTTGTTCAGTTCCAGAAGCCCGGATCCATGAAGGTGACTACCAGATGGCGACGCGCCAGGGTTCTTCTCCGTCTCATGGCCTTGGTAGAGAGCGGAGGAAAGTGGACCGTGCATGGTGCAAGGAGTGGACAGGCAGCCGGAGCACAGGCTGTTGCAGCACAGCACAGCATTTTGGACGACGAGATAGATCGGCAATACGACTTGGATGCAGCACTTTTTGTTGGGGCAGAACAGTGTTTCTGGCAGGATACGGGGACTGCAGGTGCAAGTCATAAAGCGAAGTCTTTTCGAGCCGGGAGAGAAGCACCATCTACTACTTCGCAACAAGGAGCAGGGTCCTTGTCAACGCAAGGGCAAGCGCAAGGTCATGTGGTGGGGATAAAGCCTGGAGAAGCTCACTCCAAGAAATCGCCTACTAGGCTCTTGCAAAATCAGCAGAACTGGCAGACATTTTTGCTAGTTCTGAAGTTTCTCGCGATTATGCTTCCTAATGATGCTTTGATGGCGACGCATACGGAAAAGGAAATCCGTGATTTACCACCGGATGAAAAAGGTACGTATTGGGCGCCTGCTAGTATTTCCCTATTAGACAAGACGGAACTCGCAATATTGCAGAAAAACCCTTTTTACATGCAATTGGAGGCTGCAGCGAAAGAGTTTGAGAGGAGTAAGCGAAGTGGCAAATTCTCCACGGTCGTGACTCGTAGTTCCACTAGGGGTGCGTTTGCTGGCACCAGTCAACTCTTCGGCGGTTCGGACATCTTCGGGGGTCAACAGAACACGGCTGCAGAAGTGAGAGCCACAGTGTCTTCCCTCGTCCATCAAAGCGTCAAGGATGCCTTAGCCCACAGTCGCCAAATGACGAGCAAAGTCGAACGAGAACTAGAAGTTCTAACCCTAATATGCAAGATGCGCCAGGGAGATGACAGCGCGTTTCGGAGACTGGGAACGTTGTCCTTGTCAGAACCAAAGGTGAAAATGCGCGGGAGTGAAATAGCAACTGAGGCCCTATTTGGCGGAGATTTAAGCACAGTGGCACGCATGGACATGGAACAAAGTAGACCCGCACGTGGACTTTTGTTAAGGCCTCCGTAATCCACCTTCGGAAGCATCTTGATGAGGCTGCTCTCCTCCAAAAAGGAGAGAGAGAAGCATGATCAGGATGCATCTCGCGGTGGATATTAGGGGTGAGCTCTAAGTTTGGGGGAAAGCACTACTAGAGACTCTTCGCTTCGAGCGACAACACAAGAAAGGACAACGACTGGAGGAGCTCAAGGCGATCTTTTTGTTAGGGGAAAAGGATCTACCCAAGTATCTTTACAGGATAACACCGATCCCAACGCGAGGTCTGGGCAAAGGCGACATTTTTCTCGTGCCTCAGAGGTAAAGAACAGCACAGTGAATGCAGGCCGACTCCGTACTTACATGGGGTGTGTGACTGCTGCTCTGACTGCTAGTGACCAACAGAAAGGGACAGAACTGACTGCACAAGACAGGGGTGCCTTGAACTATCTGCAGAAAGTAGGACAAACGATTGATCCAGCACAAAGTTTGGCTCACCACAGAGAACACGGCAAATTGGACGAACATCTGGAGAATGCCGGTCATGAGTCTTACAATCGAGCCAAAGTAAGCGATCGATGGGACAAAGTGAGCGTGTATTCCAAACATGTGGGACGAGCCTCGACGGTGATGGAGTCGCCGGCCATAGCCGAAGCCCACGCGAAGCAGCAGGCTCATATGGTCAGAGAAACAGGCATGTTTCCATTATCCGGACACCACGACCACGCGCACGGATTGATAGACTCAGCGAAGCAGTTACAAGCGAAGGCTTCGACAACGAGTGGTCTCGTTGGGCTGGTGGGAATGGATACGTGGATGAAAGAATCAGGCGGTGGGACCGGACGGTTTAGGAGACAGCAGAATCGAGATGTGGTGAGTCAATCAACCTCGACTGGCGAATTACTGAAACTGATGACCAATGAGCATAGGAGAAGTCAGAGTCGAGCAGGAAGCGTAGATAGGGAGACGAGTGGAGAAACAATTACAGCTAGAAGTGGTAGTCTTACAGCAAGAACCGGATCAGGCCTTCGAAGCCGGTTTAACAGGTCAAGATCCCCTAGCCCGACTGCAGGTGCCAATAAAAGTGCTACTTCTGGCTTACTAGCGATGGTCCAAGTTGCCAAGAAGAGTGCCACGACTGGAGCAGCAAACCTGAGCACGACAAAGGACGTGATCGCCGCAGCCAAGCAGGAAAAAGCTGAAGCGGCACAGAGGGAATTAGAGGCACAAGCAGCTAGGCAAAGAGCTGCGGAGGAAGCTGCCGCTCGCGAAGAAGAGGAAAGAGAACGACAACGAGCATCGAGTCAAAGATCCTATACCATGGAGGATACATCAAGGGGATTTACAGGTTTCACGGAATATCATCCCTCAGCACCTCAATGGTCCCCCAACAACAGTGGTCCTGGTACCCAAATGAGTGGAGCAACGTCTGCAGGCCCTGCCTCTGCTCGAATTGGGAACCAATTTGGTGGCGGTGATTTAAGATTCACATGTTAATCTTGATCATTGTCATTGAGCCTTAAAACAAGAACAACTACTTAGAAGTGAACAAGAAATGTGCTGTTGAGCTCGAGCTTCTGTAGTTCCTGATGTTGAGCCTGCTCTGTTTATAATAATAAATAAGTATTATAATTTGAGCAGTTGTTGTTTGTGTTTATAATCAAATAGAAAATCTTCTTGTTCATCTCTAAGAACCGGATTACAAGGTAAAGAAAAGCTTCTTGGTGAGAGTTTCCAGCTGCAAAAAGCGCGGCTAGAGGCGGAGGCTAGGCAGAAGCAATTGGAAGAGCAGGCGAGGCGAGAACGCGAGTTAGCAGCGAAACAGCAGGCTCAAAAGGAACGTCAAGCGCGGCAGCAGGAAGCAAAGAAGTTGATGGCACTCCAAGTCCAGCACAAAGTCGATGTAGTGAAAAGCGGACCAGGACCTGTAGTTGCTCTCGATTCAACGTTGAGTGGTCGTGGACAAAAGCCGGACGCAATCTCAACCTCAAGTATTTTTGATTTTTGCTTTCATCGTCTGTGGAAGTTTATTTTCTAGACGTGGACCTGAAGCTCTCTTTACATAAGTACATTCTAGACGAATTTCGTCCGCAGAAGTTTTTTTCTACTAGATGAAACCCGATTGGATTTCCCTAGAAGTTTTCCTTGTTTTTTAGATGAGGACGTAATCTTCGTAAAGGCCATAAAATTTGAATTGATTTTCATCCACACACGCACAGACACGGAGCATTGTCTTGACTTCCATTTCCATATAGTTATAAGTACTACGACTACAATTTCCACACGTCGAAGTACTAGTACTTTTCGTTCTCCACTACAGTCTGTATCATCCAACAACGAGATTCCACCTCGCTCTATCTTCCCTTAAAAAAAGGCCATCTTCCTGCTCCTCCTGCTCAACCTCTGCATTTTTTGTCTTCTCCAGGTTCTTTCCTGGTGTTCTTGTGGATAATACTAGATTTTTACTCTGATCCACCACCAAACACATACTCTAACTTTTTCTCCAGACCTTCCAGATTCCACCTATCTAATCCTATAAATATTGATTCTACAACGACCTTTCGCTTTATTCCTAAGAAAGCTGGTGAAGCTCATGCTGCTCCACATGGATCCTCCAACTCTGCATTTTCTCCAGGTTCATCTGCTGTCGTTTCCCTGCATTCAGCTGGAGGTCCACCTGCTGGCGACGGTCCCGGAGGAGGTCGCCCTTCAGCGATTGCTCCTGAGATTAGGAACGCTGCTAAGTCGCCAGAAGACGAGAACAGCAAGCAAAGGGTGGATCCAGATGCTGGCAGGCCCACTCTTTCTGACGAGGAGTTCTGGTGGGAAGGGCCGGTGGGAGATGTAGCCAGTCCATGGGAATTCATGAGGAAAATGTGCTCGGTCAAGGTACTAAAACTTCTTCGGATTACAGGAAAATGTGCTCGGTCAAGGTACTAAAACTTCTTCGGATTACAGGAAAATGTGCTCGGTCAAGGTACTAAAACTTCTTCGGATTACTGACAGAAAATACTAACTCGCACTGATGATGCATGCGTGCGAGTGTATTCGGCTGGATGCCTAACGCTAATCTACATCTAGTTCTAGCTTGATGTTGGATACTAATTGGCACTATTTATCACAATGTCGTTACCTATTTGTCTTTGCGTGTAATTGTCTTACTTTGTTCTTGATAGTACGTGGAAATCCTTGAGGTCGAGGCTTTGTCAGTCTAACAAGACGTAAGGCAAGTCGTATTTCTCTCAACATAGATACCGTTTCTTGAACACCTCTCACCAAACCACTATGAAACAAATCAAAATATATCCGGTATCATTCACAACTCCTTTATCCCTCGTATCACAACTCCTCCAAATTTTCCCCCGTAACAATTCAGTGGCTGGCGCATCACAAGCATGAGCAGAAGAAGATGTTTTCGCCGGATAATAAGTCAGAAGTGACCTACAAGATTTCCTCTCATGGCGCTAAAGACGGCGCGGATGCAGTGGCAGCTCTCTTGGGAAACACAGTAGCACAAAACTGCAGAGCTAAAGCCCAAAAAATGGCTAAGATGAAAGGAATGCTCTTTCTCCTCAAGGAGCAACAAGGAGGTATCATTTATTTTTTTTACAGAATGTTGTAAATCTTCTGTAAATGTAAATCTTCTGTAAATCAAAATCTTATTAAATGTAAATCTTTAGGATGAGGTTTAGACTGTACTTACAGGAGGTGGGATTTACTTCGTTCTAGGTAGAAGTTCTTGTTAGTTAATCTGCTTGTACTAAGTTTAGACTGTACTTACAGGAGCCTTCTGGGATTTACTTCTAGGTAGAAGTTGTTAGTTATGCTTGTACTAAGTTGTACTTGTTCGTTGTACTTGTGCCAGTAGGTTTAGGTAGTTCTTGTTGATGTTTCTTGAATGATTATAATGATGACGATCTCGATCCCTCAGTTTTCATCCGCAATTCATCCCTTCTCCAACTACAACTTCAACACAGGTGGTCCGCTTACCAGAGCAAGTGTAATGGCGTCCTTGATGAACATGCAGTCCATGTCACAAGCAGGAGGAGTCAAGAGTCAAGGAGGAAACGAAAATGCTGGTGCTTCCTTCTTTCAAAGTCAAGGCGGAGGTGGTGTTGCAAGCTTTTTCAAGAGCACTGTTGGTGGAGACGGTGATGCAGACGATGACTGGGGAGATGAAGATGACGATTGGGGCGATGACGAAGAGGGTGGAGGGTGGCTGACGACGGTTTTCAACGATGAATTTCAGGTGGATGACGACGAAATGTTTACAGGAAAAGCAAACATTGCGAAAGAATGGTATACAACTCTATAATTCTTGCAGATAAAATAAAATTGTTGAATATGAATAATTCTGATCGCTCCATCTCTGAAGTTGATGAAGGTGTTCAATTATGCGAACTTCATCATACATTACTTTCTTTATCTCATTCTTACATTAGACATTCTTTATCTCATCCTCTTCCTCAATCTCATTTGTCCTAGTCCTTTTATTTTGCTTATATTTTCTAATCCTACTTAGGAAGGCTCCATTAGTACTCGACGTCTATTACGTACTTACTAATTCTAATGTCGAGCTCGAGGACTGAAGATACATCAAGGCTCAGTTTTAGACGGTTAATTCGCTATTATGAGTACGTAGATACTTCAGTTTCTGTTTCAGAGGACCACGAGGACCCTCGCCAACCTTTTTGAACTTTGCTCGAGTCGTAAAAAATGTGCATCTACTATTAAAACTACGTGTAGGAACAACAAGATCAGTTCTTCCATGGATTTTTTTCCACACGATCCAGCTATCCCACCAAGCACCTGATGTTTCCAACATTCTCTTCCTTTCACATCAAGAGCAACTCGTCACTAAACACGTTTTTTTCATCCATAACTTCACCAGGAACGACGAGACTTCGTTTATTGACGATGACGAGCAGGGATTGGCGGATTTTTTGGGGGATAGTATGATTTCAGGCATGCTCACGTCTATGATGCCTGGAAGTGTCGCGCAGACCGATTATGAGGGCAAGAAAGGAAAAGGCAAGAAAGGCAAAGCAATGATGAAGGGGAAAGACGGAAAACCGATGTTCTTACGGCTACTCCAAACATGAACCCTAGTACCCTTCTCCACGTGAGAGAGAGAGTCCCGTTAAAGTACTGCGCTGGTAGTCAAGCCTGGCAGATAATTCTTTGAAGACTGTGGTAGTGAGGCACACCAAGAATTAGACTTACCTCTAGCCAGGCACATCAGTCAATCAATCAGGCCAGTAATACTTCTTGCGCGAGGATTTTAACGGGATCATCTATTGACGGGACGGGTCGTTTGGGGTAGCTCTAACAAGGATGATGAAAGGAAAAGGCAAGAAGTTCTGAGACGCGAAGAAAGCCGATGATGATGATGATGATGAAGGACGAAGAGAAGAAGTTGATGAAGGACAACGGGAAGAAGTTCTAAGAAGCCTTGTCGATCCTTGACCATCTTCCTTATCAAATTGGGCACGTCGCAACTGAAATTCTTTAGTTTTCCCCATATAATTACAAGGCTGCCTAACAGGAACAGGCCTTCAGGGACGCGACGTAAGCTTCCGAAGAACCGACTTATGGACGTACTAGCCTCTGGCTCTGACCTGCAAGGAGGCATCAAGTTCAAGATGTTAACCCACTGTCACAGTCACGCCTCCTATGCGTGTAGTAGAGACCTCAGTTCCAGAAGGTGTCAGTGTCTCCCCGGCTCATGTGCTGTATAGAAGTATTTGCTCACTTTCTGAAGATGTCTTTTCTGCTCTACTGGAGTTCTTGAGAAATCTTCACAACCCTTCTGCTCCCAGTGCCGATGTGCCTACTATCTATGTGACCCCCGTTTGATCAACATCTTCAAGAGAAGTATTCGCTTGATAATTCAGCATCTGAAAAATACAGATTCTCTTTCTCCGACCCTGATCATAGTCGAGCAATGCTGAAAAATCTTTGCAGGGTCTCTGCGTCCGGCTAGTTGATGTGCTCTCGAAAAATTTTGTCAAGTGTTCTGCTGCACGATAATGTCACTATTTCTAAAAAATACCGGCAAGAAATAGGCGAAGTTTCCGGATCTTTGCTTCGCGGTTTGCTTGTGATCAGTTGCAATCGCATATAGTGAAGCCAGTGATGACGATCAAGAATGGCAGTCACGACTTGTCTAAAAGAAAATAGTCTGTCCCACTCTTACTCTATGATTTTTGTGTAATGACGAGTCTCCGTTGTGCTATCATCCTTCTGTTCAACAACATGGAAAGGAGCAAGAGTCAATTTATGGCCTACCTGAAGTTAGAACGTCTTCGAGTCTGTTGCCGTAGAGCGACTTGTATTCAAAATCCATACTTTCCTACACTATCTTCTTGTTCCTTGCTAGTACTTATTTTTTTTGATTTTATAAACTACAACAACAGTTAACCATGAGGACACTAGTTGTACAGCTACAGGTCGAGGAGGAGCAAAAAATATTTGATGTGGCAGTTAAATTTCCTTATTCTTATTGTCTGAGTATCTACAAGAACTCCATTCTTTGTGCCTGAATATCTTCGGTTTCGTTTCAGAAAAAAATTTTCATGATCATCATGTCTTCGAAATGAAGTTGTAGTTCCTACGCCTCGAGCGCAGCCAGCGGAAGCGGAACGTCAGCCTTGGTTGTACCTTGGGTGTCCTGAGATGGCGCAACTTGTCTGGCAGCTCAATAAACCTTGAGTAAAAATGAAGCGCACTAGAAGCCACTTCTAGCTACAGAAGGTCGAAGTTGCTGCACGAGGCTGTGAATGTTGCCGCACGTTCTTCAGTGCTTTGTGCAGTTCCTCCAGTGAAGATCCTCCCGCGAGCAGTTGGTCGTAGCAATGGACTAGTGCCTGATGTTCCACGACCAGTTGTAGCTATACTAATGGTGTTGTAGGTTTTAGGTTGTCTAGGGTAGATCTCGTTGCCTCAAGTTGGGCATGCTACATGATTGGGGCATTGAGCTTGAGGACTTGTTCTACGAGGAGGTCAGCTGCACCAGGATGAGCAAGGACGCTGTAATGGACACTGTAGAGCCGGGTGTTGATGTAACGACTTTTCACGAGGACCAGCGAACGATAAGGAGGAGTTTTCAATTGTGCTCGACATAGACGCTAAAACGATCTTCAGAAGTTGTCTCTCGTACTAAGCCACGCTCAAGAACAACAGCTGTTGACAACCAGAACAAGATCAAGAGTATCAGCTTCTCTTTGACGACGGGCGATAACTCTCTTCAACGACGGACGACAAGAACGATCTATAATTTGACACTTGTCCACCTTCTTGGAGTCTCTTTCCTCCTCTTCACGATCACAAACACGACCTCGACGATGGGCGGTTTTGATCAAGGAGGTCCTCCGAAAGGTAAGTTTGGAGAAAAAGGTGCCTTCGGGAAGGGCGAAGGCAAGGACCACAAAGGAGGAAAGGATGGAGAGGGAAAAGGCGATGGCAAGGATCACAAGGGAGGAGCAAAAGGACTGCTTAGCAGCAATTATGTTATGTTGAAGGAAAGATGATCATGATTGTTGTTGATCAGGAAAGTGGAATATATCATGGATGAATTCTTTTTTAGTACAAGTACATGAGACTATAATATGAACAAATGGTTTTTTGAGATAATGTCGGACGACACGGCACGCAGATTCCAACTTTTTTTCTCCTGAAAAGTCATATTCTTTGCATCTTCCCGACTGTAGTAACCTATGAGGGCTACTCCTCATAGTACTGCCCATTGGTTTCTAGGAAAGACCGTAGTGGAGCACATGAATGATACTCTTCTTGATCTAGCTACGAAGGTTCAGTGTTGTCGCTGAACGGGCTCAATACTGTTAGATAGGACGGGCACAGAAGTGTCATGACATGACATTACTCTGTAGCTTGTCCTACTGACACTTTGATTCTTTCCTTACTCACACTTCCATTCTTCCTTACACTTCCATTCTTCTAATACAAGAGTTCGCGGGACGCACTTTCGACGGAAAGCGTTGGATTTAAACGCTGGAGTGGTTCGATTTTTGGAGACGTGGAACTTGGCAGGTTGCTCTTCATCTTTAGTTTATGGTTTGTAAATATAGTCCTAGACGACCTAGTCCTCAGTAGTCATACAACTTCAATATTTTTGAAGTTAAGTAGAAGTAGTATCGATTTTGTGATCGTGATATGAGAGTGGGGGTGGTAGTTGTTCATTTTTTTCCTGTAGTGTGAGTGTAAGTCTATGTGTGACTGAGTCGGGCTGGCAAATCTTCATGCAGAACTCTCCGTAGGATTACGTCTCTCTCTCTGTCTTTTCCTCTCTTCACTCCGAGTCCGACCCGCACGACATCTTCCCGTCGTTGTCTGTAGTGCAAAATTCGTTTCCTCTAATCACTAAATCGCCTTACGCCACATACAAGTGGAGCTAGAGAAATGCTTTTGCCGCACTTGATGCCTTCGAGCGACACCTTGAAAGGCGTAGCAGGAATATGCAGTCGTCAAGCGTATACTTTTTTTGTAAGAAAAAGGAAACAGTTTCTGTTGCTCTTGCTGAAAAAAGGCATTAAATATAAGTTGTTATTGTTTCGGTTGATATCCTCGTTTTTCGTGTATGTGTATCATCAACTTTTCGGAAAAATAGTACATTTATACTTTTTACTGTTAAACTTACAACATAAACTCTACTTGTGCAACAACAAATAGTTCTTGTCAACACTTCACTCCACCACGAGGACAAACCTAGTAAACCTTTCATCCACCTTAATCCCTGTACAACAGTGTCGTCTGCTACAACAAGTCGAAGACCGCTGCGACTGCGGTTGCGTGGGCCCCTAGTGGAAGGAGGATGTGTCTTGGGAATCACAATGGCGAAATATCACTCTGGAATACAGGACATGCCTGTAATTTCGAGATTGTGCAACAGTCTCATACTGGGAGCCTCCGATTCGTAAAATACGCCTTCAGCGGACAACTAGACGAGATATTGTTCACAGGTACAAAAGTAACAGCCTTGTGCCAATATGCACGTAGTTAGGTTTTAAAAGTTGAGCACTAAAATGCCCAAAATCGACACTGGCGACATCCGTGACGAAGTGGCAGGCTCTACGCCGCCAAAGTGTATAGCGGAAAACTCGGCGAGGCGGGGGAGATAAGGGGCGCGGAAGGCCGCGGGGCTCTCATGGCTTTCCTAAAAGCCACGGGCCTCCCGTATTTTGGTACCGCTAAGGTAGTCTAGTGAGGCCAGCCCCATAAACCTACAGCAAGCTCCTGGCAAGATGTCGGACACTCTCGCTGACATCCTCCGCGGCATGGACCTGAGGGACCCTTCGAGCACTGGCGCGCCTGCCTTCCCTCAGTGGTGTCGGTCTGGGCGCTGGTCAGAAGCTGCCGGGTGGAGTCACGGGCGGGGACTTGGCTCCTGCCGCTAAGGACTTCGCGCATGGCGCCGCTTCGGTGCTGAAGTACTTCGACCCGGGCCTGAGCTTGGGCAACCGCATCCCCGAGCAGGCGAAGCGCGTCGGCATCGGTGTCGTCTCGGCGCTGACGATGATGGAGAGCGGGCTCGGGCGATGGTAGAGCGTAAGTCAGCTGAGGGGGGGCATGGCGTGGGGGGCGGTTGACTGGTTTGCTCGAGAGGTATGCTTTCAAGGCCGGCGACCTTTCGCATCTGGATCGGCGAGGCGGTGGATATCTGGTTTCGGGGCTGTCATGCCGCGGCTGCCGTTCCTCGCTCCGGTAATCGCAGGCGTGAGAGCCAAAGCACGCGCAGTTTCACTGCTGGCCACCATCGAGGACGGCCCGCGAGGTTTGAAATTGAAAAACGTTCTATCGAACGACCTCGAGATCAGCGCGATTTGGCTGGCTTCTGGTGAGTAATGCTGTGAATTGCCTGGCGAACCCAGGTACCCGGAGGAAGGCCCAACTGAACTAGCCCACTGAACTAGCCCAACTATACCAACCTAACGAAAGTGACCCGACTGAACTAACCCAACGAAGCCGAGCGGACTGGACTAACCTACCTACACTGACCTAGCGAAACTGGCCCAACGCAACTGGCTGAACTTGATTAATTCAACGAAACGAACCCAACTTCGCTACGCTAGCCTAACAAACTAATCAGTTCGGCCCGCCTTTATAATCTGTGAGAGAAGGACAAGAATTTATGGGCGATGTGCTGCAACTTCTTTGACGCGACTGGTTCACGGAAGGCTTGCTCTTACCATCGTCTTCTCCTCCCTCTTCTCCACATCCACATCCACGGAACTATGTATCTCCTCATCCACGGACTTTTATTGTTCCTTATTCACGAATGGTTTTGCAAAACAAAACGAAAACAGGTGACCAAGCTGGTGTCTTGAAACTTTGGGATAAGAACTTTTGTAATACTGTGAGGCTAACGCCTCATGACAACGTCGCTATGCGCGATTTGGCGGTGGCGCCTGGTCTGGAAAAGTTCTGCACTTGCGGAGACGAACCTACAGTAAAAATCTGGGACTTCCGTACTCTAAAAGCGGAACGAACACTATTGGGACATGGGTACGAATCATCCTACAACTGTTCTTCGTATTTTCAGGAATTTTTATTGCCTAGAAGTCCACCTCCTTTTGATTTAACAAAAGTCGGAAAGATATGTCATGATCATTATCCAAATCCATCTTCTCGATAAACTTAGAAAGCAAGCTGTTCTCCTCCGCGAACTCGATTTCCCTTTCGTTCCACCACAGTTACGATGTCCGTGCTCTTGATTGGCATCCGGTGAAAGCCCTCATCGCAACAGGTTCAAAGGACAATCAACTCAAGTTATGGTGCTCGTTTATATAGTCCCCTCTTCGCAGAACCAGAAATACGTCGTTGTTCCAGTTCTTGAGCTAGTCGACGGGGCAACTTTCTCTTCCCCCACCTCCACCCTGATGAATCCATCAAGATAAGGATAACTAAGTCATCTTCGACCCCAAGAACGTCTACGCACCCCAAGCCCAACGTCTACACCTCTACCCCTACGACCCGATCTCCACGCAGCTCTAATCCCTCTCTACGATCCGCGACAAGAGACTGCGATTGTAACATTGTATCACCACAAGAACTCCATCGCCAAGATGAAATTTCAGCCAAATGGCATGTCCTTGGCCAGTGGAGGAAAGGATCAGCTGATTCATATTCTTGACATCAGGACGATGAAGATCAAGAAGAGCTTGAAGGTTTTTAGACTTACTTTTTTTGGGGTTTTTAAACCTATTTGTTGAAAGATGCACTCTACTTGTGCCGGTTTTGTTATGTAAGTACTTAGCTAGATGATCCTGGCTTGCTTTTGTTGGATTTCATTTGCCTGCTAGATGACGGTCTTTGTTTAGGATGAATTTGTTGAAAAATTCACGACTCTACTACTTCTGTTGGTCCGTCGTTCTTAGCGAGGCTAGTGTTATTGTCAAGTAATACGTCAACTATACCTTAACCTTGTTGACTAAGAATTTCAATCTCGTCATCAACAACGTTTTCATCTCTCTTCATTCCACAGGGCCACAATCGCGAAGTAACAACAATTGCTTGGCATCCGAAGTATGACAATGTCATATCTAGCGGAGGCTTCGACCCGGCGATCTATCATTGGGATTTGTATAATTCCGTAAACTACCGAGACGATGCAGGGATTGTACATCCGCAACAGGTAATTGCTTTTTTGCACTGTGTTGATGCATGTTGAATGATGGTTGTTGATGCTTCTAGATCTTCTGGATTTAATGTGAAAACGTGGTCCGACAGAGGCAAAAAATTCAATTATACTTGGTCGCGGCGACTGAGGAATTGCTTTTTTGCTGTGTTGATGCATGTTGAATGATAGTTGTTGATGCGGCGACTGAGGAAGTAAAACCACGAATCAATTCGGTGGTCACGAAGATGAAAACCACAAATGTACATAACAGGTCGTCCGTCTCGGTCACGAAGGAGGAACAACCTGTCTGGAGTATCATCCTTTGGGCACTGCCTTAGCGTCTTGTGGTCGTGACGGGAATGCGAAGATCTGGGTGCGACTGCGACCGGGCGAAACAGCGGTTGAGGATGCTACAGAGGCGTTGATACGGATGAACCAAGAACGCCACGAGAGTGGCAAAGGGAAGAAGGGAGGAAAAAAAGGTGGCATCACCTGGAGCACACAGAATATCAATCCAGATGCAGCTTTTTTATGACTAAAGAACAAACAAACTGAAACTTTCATTTCTTGAAAAAATGCTGTCTGCATGACTTCTCATGCTTGCTACCATATGCATATTAAGAGTTTGAGTTGTAGTTAGGGATGAATTTCATAAGTCTTCTTGTCAATGTACAACATCGGAGCCGGCAACCGCAACAATTCTTCCACTTCTAATCTCTGCCAACAAGGATGACGAGAATAGACCCAAAGCGAAGAGAACCATCATCACCGACTCCGTTCTGCTAACGAAGGACACCTTATCCGCAGTGCCAACCATAGCAGGGATGTTGGCGTCTACAGACCCAGCAGCTGACCACTTTAAATCTGGCGGAGGTGCGGCAAACCCATTTTTAAGGCAGTCATGTTCATACTCATGTTGTAAGTTTAACTAGTTCTTGTTTCTCAAGAACTATATCTATATGGCGACGCTGTCTTGTTGTTTTATTTGTAGCTAGGTAGAAGTGTAGCTCGTCTTCAATCAGGTAAGTAGCCGGAAACGCTACGAATCTCAATCTTTCAAGAAGGCTAACTAAAACTAACAACCCACTGCTGTAGCTTTCGACTCTAACCTACGACGAAATAGATAACGACCTGGAATTAGCTGATTTCAATCAGATTTCCAGTAAGGCACCTCCCGCAGTACCCAAGACTACCAGCGCAGCCCTCACCTCGAAAGCCAGTAGCATATCCACGGCGGGTGTCAAGGAGGAACACGACGGAGAGAATTTATGGCAAAAGAGTAGTCTAGGTGACGCTGACGGTGACGCTGTAATGTATTGAATTTCTAGTACAATTTAGATGATTGCGACAATTTAGATATTATATCAGATAAAACAACCATCAGAACTGCAAGCGACGTGAAAGCGAGAGGTGCTCTTCAGACATCCTTGCTTTTGAAGAGACGGCCCTCGTGCTATTGTTCACTTCGACTGATTGCTTTTTCGTTCGTTCCCCCACATCTTCTAACAGCACCTCCTACCACAACTACCGGCAAAGACGCGACAGCATCTGGAGTGGTAAAACGCGAGTCTCCACACTCGTCACCGCGGCCTCCCCTCAGCGGCGCCAACGCAGCCATGGTTTATTCCGGTAAAGGGGGAAAATATGGTGGCAAGTACACGCCTGTTGATCCCGACTTTGTGCCGGTGAACAGTGCGATGGAACCAGGCGACTCCGTGAGCTATCGCGCCCTCAAAAACGTCAATCAGACCCGCAGTGCTGTGCCGCTGCTGCATGGGATGGGAGTGTTTTCAGATAGCAAGATGCTCAACCTGTCGACAAATGCCTGCTCTACGTTGATGGAAAAGATCAAGTCTAATCAAAGGGAACTAGCAAGCAGGAAGCGCGACTTTGCGACGGCATTCCCAACACTAGACGAAATGAGTGCGACATTGGGTAGAAAGAAAACGCCGAGGCGATAGATGATAGAGATGATGACTTATTTTTCCTGTTGTTGAGGTTGACGCATGTCGTGCAAGTTGTAATGTTGTTCCCGTGATGTTACCCAGCATTATCGCCCTCATCTTCTCGATACACGCACATAGATAGAAGTACACATATGATCTTTCGTCCCCAGTATTCCTTTCCGACTCCGCGACGCACGACACGCAAACGTGATGTTTATTCATAGATATCATGAGGTACTAGCCTCTCCTAGTAGCGCTTTGCGAAAGAACTACATAAAAAGCATAACACTCGACACACACATCATGACCCCAGGCCCTTGTGGAGATGCTTCTACAATTTGTTCTGTGCTACAGCGTGTTGCTCTATTGTTCTTTCTCCTGGTGCTAACTCAGGAAGCATCAAGTAGGAAGATATCTTCGCTTTGTTTGTGCGCTACTGTCCGCTTTTTTTTTTTGAGTGAAAACAAGTGTGCTTATTTGATGAGAGACTGTCCTTATCGTTTTTCGTGTTTGAGAATAAAGAGATGAATCATATTCAATCTCTTGTTCAATAAAGGTAAACCTAAAGGGGAAGAAATCAAGAACCATGTTAAGCGTTCCCTCTCAGCCACGACTTCGCGGGTCCTCGTTCGGCCTCCAGCGACGACGAAAGCCGCATCGGGTCCGGATGGAAGGCAACTTCCCGATTTTTGCGCAAGCCAAGCCACCATCCGAAACAGTGGACATCTTCCATGCTTCGCCAGAGGTCAGTTCGCAAGCTAGCAGACACGGAAGAGTGTTGAAGCCGCACGAAGCGGCAAGAGGTATAGGTGGTACGAAGGTCGGAGATCATGAAGACAGGGAAGGAGATCACGAAGCGTTTAGATCTGGAATTACGGGCACGACAAGGAGTAAAGGGTCAACATCTATGGGCGCTACAATTAAGGCTCAACCATTTCAGTGGTCACCATATAATAGATTAGGGTCACTGAAATCTTCGAAGAGCAGGGCCCCCTGGAGATGAGAACAGGGGAATAAAAGTGAGGGAAAACAAGTAGAGAGATGCGGGGTCCCACCCGTTCAGAGTCAGTGACCAATGACTGCTGACCTTTAATACAACACCTTCAGCTTCAGCAAACCACGCGGACCAGTCAGCAGGCGATCTAGTCAAAAGTGTTGGCACGGACGAAAGATATCGGTCTTGGGTCGACAACGGTCCTTCACAGAGCATTTGCTCACGGCATGACCGCTTGTTACCTGGCGATCCGAAATGTGTCTACCCGAATCCAGATCGTAGTGATTTTGACACATCCTCAACATCCTTGTCTTCAAGGAACAATGCAACGCCAGTGCCAGCGCCACACGCGCACCAGCAGCACAAAAGCATCAAAACATTCGAGACTCCGGATGACGTTTATTGGCGATACTTCAAGGACCGAGATCGCAGATTGGATGGCAAAATCAGGGAATATCAGCAGATCTTAGACGGTCTGTCATCTGCAACTTCTTCTTCATCAAAAGGTGGGGACCTCGACGGTGGAGGTGGTGAGAAGTTGACAGCAAACGGGTATCCAAAGAGGCCACGCATAGGTCCTCGGAATTGGTGGACGAAACGAACGGAAGAAGAAATATTACCAAGAATGAGACAAGAACTTTGTACTGATGAAGACGTTCTTGTAGGAGTTGGAGGAAGTTGTACTTCTAGTACTACTGTTGGAGTTGGGGATTATTTGAATCTTCAGAATTCGTCAGAATTAGCGGAATCAGCTAGTTCATCAAGAACATCTTCCGGTTCATCAACATCTTCACCCGCCTCATCCTCCAGTCCAACTTCTTCAACTTCTTCTTCTTTCTCCTCTAACCTTCCAACCTCAACAGCAACAACATCTACTTCTACCCCTTCGCCTTCCTCCCCTTCTTCTTACCACGCCCTGATCACTCACACCTCGAAGCCAGTGCAAAAGTCACTTCCTTTTCTCAGAGCCGAAGAGCTGAAGCGATTGATGCTCTTGGATGCGCACAAGGTGAGGAAAGGGGAGACACAATTTCAGCCTGATTTGTGGGCACGTTTTGTCCGGAGAGCATGGGAACTCACTACTGGCCGTTTGTACCCAACCAACAAACGAGTGGGACGTAGATGCCACGTTCGCAGCGTTCTTAGATTCCTACAAGCAATTGGAAGTGTGCAGTATTTTCCATCACACCAAATGTTGAGGACTGCAGCTGCATCAACGACTGTTACTGAGCCTGAGGCTGAGCTTATTTTCCTCCCATCTTCCACATCTACCAGGTCGTCGTGCTCAAGAGCATTGATGAACAAAGGCAAAGACTTCTGCTCCTCAGAGTCGGATCACGAGTCAGAAGGATCCCCTCCAGGAGTCCCTCGACACGTCACCTGTCGTATGATCGAGGACATGTTTCTGCGGTGCATGATCTGTGAACAATACAATCGCCTACAACAACAACACTACGTCTACCTCTTGGCGAGTCTGGCGCGTCTCCGAGTGCGGAAAAAGGAGTTGCTGAATCGCATTCTGCAGAAAATGAGTGTGTGCTGGTCGCTCTTGCCGCAGAAGCAGTTGATTTTATGTTCTTGATGAATTTTTCAAGTAGGCTAGTCCTCGTCTAGGCACCTCCAGGTCCAGCTTCATCTTCTTCATCTAATCACATTGGCTGCGAACAGTTGTGCGCGGCTCGATTTAGGGGACTGCGCTTGGGCTGCGCCTTTGAGAATCGCCTTGGAACTCGCAATTTTTGGTGACGCTAAGGAAGAGAAGATAGACTCCAGCGCATCTCGCGGTACCGAATCTCCAGACGATGAAGATATTGTGCCAATGCTGTATCACGATCATGGTGATGATGTTAATCATGATGAGCAACATCAACAACAACTACAAGGGCAGCTAGATCATAATAATGAGGAACATCAAGAACATCAAGAGGCTTTTTCTGCTACTGCTGCACCTTGGGAGCACAAGAGGCTCCTGCACAAGCGTACGGATAACAATGTCTATCCAGGTGGTAATCACCAGCAAAGCCGTCCAGCACTTGGTGGTCTGTGGCCTCCTGAGCAACAAGGCGAAAATCGACCTGCCATGCATTTCTACGACATGCATGACACGGGACACCAAAGCAGCTCAGAAGAGGCTACGACTTCGATGGGGTTTTTGAATTATGGCTAGTACGTGGGTCTGGATCATGCGATTTCGTTTTCGATTTGTTCTTTCCGCTTTTTTGTTTATTTTTACACCCCGCGAGCAATACAACTAGTTCTTGCTGAGGAAGATGATGTGGTCCTGCACAAACTCAGATATCGTGGCTACTCTAATCCCCAAAACGACGCCTTATCGTGGAACGCTTGAAGGCCATCACCGTTCTGGAACTGTTGCCACATAGAGTTATCGACGTGGTGAAGCTCTATCTGCAAGACGAAAGACGGATTAAGGGTTGGAAGTTGGCCTATCTGGTATCATCTAAGAGCATCTCTATGGCTTCTTCAAAAGTAGGAAAGCCATAGGAATGCGAGCTAGTAGAGATGCCAACTCTCAACCTCTAAACGGACACCGCGGACGACGAGTGGGAATGCTTCTGGCTCCTGCCGTCCGAACGACCGCAGCTTGGTTCTTTTTGAACTGTATTTGAGAGTAATTATGCAGCAAAAAGTGCATAACCACCAGGACCAGAATAATTCATGTTCCTCTTACGAGTCCGAGCTCTCCACTGCGGAAAAAAGAGTACTGGAAGAACGCAGAGACGCATTCTACGAGAGGAAAGGCATGTACGAAGAGGAACAGGAGGACGCGGATGAAGAGTTGGGTGTGATGGACGACGCTGAGTTTGATTAAGGGTAGGTTAAAGGTGCTTTTCATCTTACCGTTTGTTATGGCTCTCCTAGTAAGGGGGGCCACAGCCATAGCAAGCGGGATAAACGAACACCAAAACCCGCCTACCTCTACTAATTTGAGCCGTCGCACGAGCAGGAGCACAGCAGCACAGCAGGAGGAGGAAAGCTACAACAAGCTGCCTCAACCTGGTCGTGTCCTCAAAGTGCCCGTCTTGTCCTGCCTAACTGTGAGGTCTTTTCTACAACTACCGATGTTGAAGATAGCAAGCAACACCACCAGTTACACCCTCGAATCAAAGCGGGTCCTTTCCGTGTAGACTTCTTTTGCCCAGAACGGGGTCTAATCGTGGAAGTTCTACCAGATCATGCTTTTTTTCGAAACAGTAAGGAGCTGACACCGCCGGTTCGTTGGAGACTCAGGTTTTTGCGAGGCATGGGCTTCGAGGTTCATGCTATTCCATATTGGAAAACGAAATCTAATGATATGTGAGCGGAACAAGCAACGAAATTATCAAGAGGGGTAGTACAAGGGTTGCTGGTGTCCGCGGAATCACGATGAACGATGGCATGTAATAGATTTGTTTGAAGTGTTTATGGATTTGGATACCTTCCGATACAAGAAGAAAAGACGATTCTACTGTAAGTGTTGGCTGTAGTAGTTCTTGGTGGAACAACTCTGGCCCTTTGCGCGCGTTTCTGCACTTGTTTCTGCGCGCTCGTCATTTGGTGACGATGAGTTGCACCACCTTAGAGGAGCATTCAGATGACGTCATTGTCAAGTGAAATTGGAACAGGAAGTTCTTGCAGCTTCTTTGGTTAGTTAAACGTAGCTTATGCTTGATTAGTTGTAAAGTGTTAGGTAATTCTAGTTAAGCGTCTCCGTTCTCAACAATGGTGCTTACAGGAGTAGGTGGGTAACCTGTATTGATACAAAAATCTTTTTTCATCACCCTCTCTCTCAGGAAGTCTTGCGTGTGGACTCTCGGAATTTCTGTGATTTGCCTCTCCAACTTCATCTGTTAAGCTCCTCCTATGAGCGGTTGTTTTTTTTCGCTCTGAGATGCTTCTGTCTGCGTATTTTTCTGCAGAGTCGAGTTTCCTTCCTTCGTCGAGGACGTCGCTTGTCTCCTCTGTCGCTTGTCTCCTCTGTCGCTTGTCTCCTCTGTCGAGTGATTATAACTCGTGAAGATCTTTCGTCTGTCCTGATCGCGCTTCTGTCTTCGTTTCTTCGCTTGATTTCGTCTGGAGTTGACGCGAGTACGAGAGTGAGTACGAGAGCGAGCATCTTTCTTTCGTCCTTCTGCTTTGCCCTCTACGCGCGCTTGCTTTGGGTTTTGTGGCTTGGGCAGGGCCATCTTTGATGGCCTTGTGCAGGGGTTGGATGCGATCTCCAATAGAGTCAGGTATGGTGAACATACCTAACGCGGCGGTCTATTGGGGGTGTGAGCACCGATTCCCCCAGCGTTTCCCCGCCATGGAAAGGACGCCAAGGGCAGAAGCATCCTGCTGAGGCTTAGACTTATTTTTTAGCTATCTTAAATATTTAGCTTCTTGTTATGTTAGTATAGTTTTTGCTGTCTGCCTCTTTGCATTCGAGTTCGGCTTTCTCTGCTTCCAACGAGTTGTGAGTGTGAGCGAAGTGCTGTCCGTTCAACACTTCCTGTTCAACATCATTTCCAAGTTCAGTATCAGCAGGGGACCGAATGGAACAACTTTCTACACATAC